TTTTAACTGATGAGTAATTTAACATTGTTTTCTCACCATCAGAAAGTCTCTTGGTTTTATAAAATCAGAATTTAGATTTGAAATTGTGCTAAAACGCAAAAAATTTGACTGAAAAATAACAAAATAACAATCTTCATTATCTGTATAACTGGCCTCAAAGAACTAAAAGAAAAAATTCATGTGAAGAGCAACTGAACACTACTTTTCCGAAATTGTTTTCTAAAGCTTGTTTAAAATGTCCCAAATTTTGACACACAAATCTTTATTAATTAGCAGATGAACACTGATCAGCCTTCACCCTGAAATCTTCCTGAGAATCAATCAGAAAGCGCAGAACCCATTACAAAAAATTTTACCGGAAATCTTTTGACCATTGGAAGAGTGTTTGGTGTAAAATAACTATTCGCCTACAACGAAATAGATTAAAGCTAATGTTTGAAAATTATTTCATGCTAGCCATACACTGGCAATTCCGATTCTTAACCTTCTTGTCCTCATAGTTCCGTTTTGTACACCAGACGATATAATAACCCCATTTCTAAAAAATTGTTTTTGCGATAATCATAAACCAAAGATTACAAGATTAAATACAGTACAAACAGTCTAGAATCTTTTATCAGCACAGTCATTTCGCTTTCCAATTTAACAGTACCATTTGCAGTAATATTTTTCAATTAGCTATTCCTATCGCTACCCTATCACAGTACAGGCTTTTAAGAATAGACAAGACTCTAATTCATTGGTATTCGTGAAGAAAACAATAAAATCAAAATAAACCATTTAAATGACAAGATCCTTCTGTATAAAGCAACCTTAAAGCTTATGATTCTTAACAAATAATAGAATCAAATACAAACCTTAGTAACAGCTAGGCGAACGATCATAAATAAAAAGTTCTAGAGCAGAATGTTCTTGAGCAAACTGGCATGCAAGCACTCCTTATTTCCACCACACAGTCACTTTTTTGTTACATTTTTGTCGCACAAATGAGAAAAAACCATTATTTTTTTTCTTTTATTTTGAATCGCTTGCTATTTGGTCCAAAAAGTTTGTTAAAATGATTAGAAGCTACAAAAAGCAAACTTTATTTCAAGAGTTGCAAACATTTATAGAGTTTTACGTCCTTCTTCACCAGAAAAAAAGATGCAAAAGAAAAAATTAAATGAAATATGTAAAGGCAAGGAAAAAAACTTTAGTAGTCATGTGAAGAAAGAGGAACGGCTAAAAATAATACATATACAGACAAAATTTATTTTAGACTTATTGCAGAAGAAACTATCGAAAATTTAGAGGCAAGAACCTGTAACTCCGAAGCTAAGAAATGCAAATAAGACAGTCAATTCGACGAGTTTGAAAAGATTGCTGTGCAACGTTCCGACACACACGACTTCGTGACAATTGCAGCAGTGGAGTGCCTTATCCGCCCCTAAACGATAAAACGATGAATGACAGCCAGTCATAAGAATAACTCTCAACTTTTTTCTCGGCTAGTGTCAGAACAAAATTCTGTTTTTAATTTTAAGCGCTTCTAAGCTAGGCTAATAAATAATAATTTTTATTTTTTCGCTGTTTGTTACTCTCCAGTCACCTATTTTCATTATTCACTTTCTACTAAACAATACTGTTTAACAATGTTTTTCCTCAATCACGTTCATTGAGAAGAAACCTGTTATTCTTCTACCATCTCCGGCTCCTCCCAGAAAAACAGGCATCAATTTGATGAACCGCGGCGAAAAAGCTTTACATGCTTCCTCCTGCTTTACTCCCTAAATTTGAAGTACAATAAATGTTATGAAAAAGTAAAAAGCGTGGCATTTTTGAATGAAACATTTCAGTTCCCTTTTTACCATAATCTCTTTCCCATTTGTTATTGCAAATATTAACATTTTACTAGATCTACGAGCTTGGAAGAAAAACAATGAACAGAAAAAGGTAAATTGCTTTTACGAACACCATTAAGTAAAGTATCGAAGAGTGTGGAAAGCAGCTAACCAGACAACATATTAACTACTGGAAGTGACTGTTAATTATTCAAAAGAAAAACGAGGTTTGGGAAAGATTACGTGAAATGTTGCTTAGTTCACTTTAAAAGGCTAAAATTCCAGACCGTGCTTGCTATCAAAACTTGGATCCGCAAAGATGAGTAATACAATCATCTAGTTCCTTTAAGCGTGCTTTTTTGTTATGCTTGCAAACCGCTTAAGAAAAGCCTGCTGACCGAAAGCCGCCACTGGCTACTAATTGCTACAGTGTAAGTCCTTTTTGAATGTGATCTTTCGCTAAGTGGTGGCCTCCGTATTTGCGCTTAAGCTTTACTCTTCAAATTAATTTAGACTGTGGGTTACGCATCCGGTGTGCATCTGGTAGAGAAAAGTTTACTCTTTTAGATTATTTATACTGTCATGGTTTTGGTTTTATTTGTGATTTTCTGTATACATTATTTTGCTCTATTTACCCAGTACGCTGCCTTATTGTTACTTCAGTATAACTATATTATAAATTCCCATTTTTGGCGCTGAAGTTCCTTGAACAAATCGTTTCTTTTGTAACGCTGTCCGTTGCTAACAAGATCGGAGGCTCAAAAAAGCCCAAATTTCTATAGTACGTATATTTGACGAAACAGAAGTAATTTTGAATTAACTGCTGTCCTCACCCATTTGGCATAAATGTGAAACCAGTCTTTCGATATCCGTGGATTCAAGTGTTTGACATTAGGTGAGAGAGGACTAACAGCATTAACAGCTTTGCCGGCCATGGCTTAAATCTGAATAAACTGTTGGCATCTGGAAGTAATATCAGTTCCCAGCGTACTACGGACATATATAGAATCATTTGGTCAATTGTGGCATGAAAAACGCTGTATCAACAATTCACTTTGATAAGACTGTCGAACAATTCAGTCATTATTTTGTACTTTTATACTGCTTTGTTTGCGAAAATAAAGGTGTTTGATCCAGAAATCTGTATATTACGCTGATAAGTTTCTGAGACTTAACTGATTTGATATAGCAGTGAAGATGATTACTGCCAAGTCTGAAAATTTCCAACTTTTGTGAACTTCTTCTTAGTGGTTTCAAATAGCAAACCAAAACAAACAGTTTTTGAAGCATTCTCTTGCAAGGCTGATTCCTCCAAAATGTTTCATGCCAAGTGGTCAGTATTATATTTGTTGAACTGCTTCATTTGTAAGATTGTACGGTATACAAGTCTTGTCCTAAAAAGGTGTTTTGCAACGACTAGACAGAGATTGTAATTGAGATCAGTTCAGTTTGCAAATTTTAGTAGAGTATTATGTAATACAAAGCGCAGTATCGGAACATTTTCTAAACGGATCTTCTAGGCACTTAATTGAACGACAACGAAACAGAAAGGTCGTAAGATTAGAATTGTCACGTCGCAAGAGTCCTGCTGCCTAAGCTCTTTCCCCTTACGAGAGCATGCATATATCTCTGTAACTTTGCCTACTGCCACTTCTGTTCAGCAGGTTTGCCCGGTAAATGCCATTTTATCAATTTCTAAATCACGACACTGTATTGGAACTACAAATACATATAATCTGCATTAATTCCGGCTAAGAAAAAAGTAAAATTTAACGGAAATTTCAATATCACTACAGTGGTTACTGAAGAATCGACCGAGGAGCGTTTATATCAGAATTCTCCGTCTGCCTCTATTGCTGATTTTGGCATCATACTTCAAACAAAAAAAAATTTATGGCTGTTGTGAAGCTGCACTATGTATTCTAATCAAGAACAAAAGAAACTTAGGTTAAAAAAGAGCGTCACACCTGTTCTTCAAGGCTTGAACTGTCTTTTCCTTTGTGTTGTAACGGAATAATCCGAGGGAGTCTTAACAGGAAACTATAAAGCCACCAGTTTACTGCAAGGAGTGAAATCCAGGAAAAGTTTACTGGCGCTCTTAAAATTGGGGATCCGCTTAGCAACCAACAGTGGTCAGCAGTGTCAAGATTTCTGCTGTGGATCACGAAGTTTTCATACGCATCTTAACAAAAACAAAACTCTTTGTAGAAAATAGCTGGAAAGCTTTACGAAGCTCTGGTTCACTTTTCTAGAACTCTTGTTACAAATCCGGCTGAATCTTTGTGTTGCTACTATAACGTTATTCAGTTAGCAAAAATGTTTTCATTTAAAGCCGTCTTTTTTTTTTTTTTTGATCCCAGTCACTTTCAGACTGGCAGTAACTCTGCTGTCTCATACTTAAGCATTCCAATCAAGTTAGAGGGATGCAAAAGCCGTATTTTCTTCCTTGCCATACGGGTAAAGGAATCAGATTCCTAATTTTCCACGTTTAAAAAGTTTATTGACGAGAGTAAGAAGATGATGCAAAGCAAGCAACAAGAAACGGACGTTCCAACTACCTTCTAGGCACGTCTCATAATGGTGATGTTAAGGAAACAAAAAACCAAAATTACTTTTTTAGCGGTTAAGGCACTATAGCAACCAAAAAAACCTTTTTTGACCAATTAATTGTATCAATCCCCCGTTCTCCCACAACCCTTTCCCTTCCTTTCTTTCTCCTTCTTACACTCGCTAAGTAACCCCGCAGTTCGCTAACCTATAAAACTCTCATGACACAAGTTACGTATCGTTTGCAAACTTCTTCACTGAAATTTTACTAAGTGATTTCCTTCATCAAAAATGAGGTTTACTGATATAACCAAGCGGGCGATGAAAGACGCGAAAATTTACCTATAAAATGATAAGCAAGACTTTGTCCGCATATCCTCGCAGTAGATCTACCAACTAAAAATTTTCAAAAAAATATGGAAACCCGATTGAAGTGAGGCTTTAAAGTTGGAAAAATGAAAAAAATCACCAGACAGCAACTAAGCTTAACACTTGAGAAATTTCAACATCATAATGGTAAATGGCTTCCGGACAAGTAAACGGATATTCCTTTTCCTTTTTAATAAAAACGTAGGCAAAGATTTTGATGTAAAGGATCCAAATCAACAACAAGATAATTCAAAGGACCGAAATCTACAGGTGGCAAAATGCTAAAATGTGAGGTATTTTTGTCCTTAAATAGTCAAGGATCTCGGTATCCAAAGACCTGAGAATCATCTCCTCCGAAGTTATTGCAGTCTGTGTATAAGCTTCGTGAAGTTGTTTCTGATTGAAACTAAAGTCCCAGAATTCAGCTCTCCACCCTTGATCCGTGAGTACAGCTTCAAAGTATACCTGAAGAAAACAGTAAATGTGAACGCTACAGTAAGGCACTGTTTGCGGTGGTTGTCTTGCGCAGTTGTTGAAAGGTTTGTTTTAGGAAAATTCTAATGCTCAGATCTTTCTGCATGAAAAAAACATTTTTATGCCATTTCAATGCCATTCTTCCTTCTTCCAACAAGTCTTTCAAAAAATGTCTCTTTAAATAAAGCTTGAAGGCAGCAGAAATGAAAAAAATGCTGCACTAAATACGTCCTCTCCTGCGTAAAAATACTAACGCTTTCTCCAGGTGTCAAGACTTCATCGAGCCCTTCAGCAAACATATTCCCTCGACAACCACCTCTCCAAGTCAGGCTAGAACAGAAAAGTAATTCACCAGAAAAATCAAGTACAGATGCCATCATCTTGCTCACGCTAACGACTTTCCCATATCCTGGAAAATAAAAACCATGACTCCTGGAAAAATATCCTGGAAAAATAAAAACCAGAAACATCGAAACAAAAAAGTAGAAATCTGACAAAAAAACGCAAAATAACCTTTTCTGAAATATCCCTTATCGAAAGTAAGTTTATTTTCTTCCGAAGCTAAATCAAAGGCCGCATCACTTCGATACATTTCTGAGAAAGAATGAGAAGATATTTTTGTGGCATATTCTGCAATCCATCTACATCCTGATCTTTCGGCTTGCGCTCTAACCTGCACAATCACTAAGTCGCCAGTGGCGATATAACTGTCCAGTTTACTGACCTCAGCAGCAGAAAACGAAGCACCGGGAATAAACACCATTCCCAGTTCTTCGTTAAAACCATAAGCAAAGGTCTCAGTAACTGAACTGACCGCAACAACCTGAAATTTTAAACGCAGAAAATTACTTCAGCGCCCTCATATTGAGTACATTAAGAAATTGCGCAGAAAAAAATGATATACATCTATTAACTAAACAGATTAACTGACTAATTTCTCAAAAAAGAACAAAATAAGTTCATCACACATTAATTATTTTATAAAATATTCCCAACAAAAATAACAACCTGTTGCTTACTCGTCGACGGGTTATCTGGATTCTGGTAGAGTTCGTTATTGGAAGATAAAATAACCTAAAACTTTCGAAGTAACAAAAAACAATGGTATTTAAAGAAAATTGGTTTTATAAGATATACACTTTTTAACTACTGAAAGTTCAACCTTTACCAGGCTTACAAATGTAATTTAACAAATAATCTCTTCTCTCTCTCCCTTCCCCCCCCCTCCCCAATAACTGTCTTGGTTCGTTTTTGGAACGAGAAAGGCCTTAAACCCAACGCCCCTTCGTCCTGTTTTTGACACATTGGGGCTGCACAACTAGTATATAAAAAAAGCACAAGCAATCGCTAATCAGGTTCCTGCTAGCCGAACGCAATAAATTTTCTGATTTCGTATTCCTCAACAAAACTTCAAACCTATATTATCCGACCAAAAACAGCGTTTTAATCAATTTCTGATTTTAACAGAACCACAATCAAAGCGATAGAATACAACTTCCCCCTTCCTCCCTCTCCCCTAAATATTATCCGCAAGAAGTCACACCTTTGTTGCCAACCACTGGCACTCGTTTTTTCCACGTTGAGGTACTGCAACGAAATGAACTATATCACCAGCTTTAAGGTATTTCGTGAGATCTGGCGTTGAGCAGTCCGGCGGCAAAGCTGCAGATGGGGGAACAAAAACAGAACCAAGTTTGTTGCTTGATATAAATGCATACTTGACGTCCACTCTCGTGATCCGACCAGTAGACGAAACTTCTGTCTTCTTATCCTCAGATGATTTCATCACAAACATTCCAGTAAAAATAAAGATAAGTTGGGGACTCCAACGGACTGAAAACTGAAATGATTTAATTATACTACACCGAAACGCCGACTTACTTTTACTCAGCTGGTATCCGCTCCCAAGTTAAAACTATATCTCTCTCCCTGCTGCCTGGAACCCAACTCCTTATACACGGCTGTCCTTCAGAAACAAGAAAAAAACACTTTACTAAAAATCTATACCAGGTTTCATACGAATCGGCTGCTCGCCATACAAATAAATCAAAACAAGTACGCGTACACTGCTAAAGTTACTTGTATTCAAGCTGAACAAACGGTTTCAAATCTAAAAATCTTTATCTGTTTTTCAGTAGAAAGTCAGAGCAAAGCTCTCTTCCCCCTCCATACTCTAAGATTCACCCCTACAGCCACTCGTTCGCATACACCCATATCCGATTACGGCAAGTTTTCTACAATACAAATGAACGCTAGGCCGCTCAGAATTGAGGATAGTTTTGATAAAAAATCTCCAAAAACTGTTTTTCCAAGATTGCCAACTGAAAAAGATGCCTCAGAAAACCAACATACGAAAAACACCTGGTACACTGAAGACTCAAAAGAAATAAAACATCTGGCCTATTTAATTACCATATGTTTACATGCCCGGAAGTATTTCTTCATCATACTTTTGCAACCAATCCCCTCTTAGACCACTTTCTTATGATATTTACACAAGACGGTTGAACAAATAAACAAGAAATGAACAAAACCTACCTCCGATGCACAGAACTAATACTAGCAGAAGGCATACCAAAAATGCACAAACGTGGATACTGTATAAAACACAAAATTTTTAGAGTAGAAAAGAAGACCCTTCATAAAAAATTCCCCAAAGGCAAGGCAGTGAAACACAGCACAGATAATAAACTCAAAAAACCTTCATTTATGCAACAATTCAAAGAAGTCCAAGTCACGGCAGTCTAGAGGCTGTTATAGGCAACAATTATGTCTTACATTTACAAAGAAAAAAAAAGAATAAAATTTATTGTCAAAGAAATCTCCAATTTTTAAAGTGAAAAAAATGCGTAAAGCAAGTAGAATTTGCCATTTTACATCATTATACAAAAAAAAACTAATATAGCTCTTACCAATGAAATGCAAAACTTGATAGGACATTATGAAAAAAATACCAACAAAAACTTCACGAGATCCTTAAAACCTAGGAATATTTACTACCATTAGACTCAAACACACAAACTGAACCTTAGTTTGCAAGCCTACTCCGTGTATATTTGACTAGTAATAGTCAAATGTGAAAACAAAAACTCCTCGTAAGTTTATTATAAAAACAAACCAGCAATGACAAACTGAACAAATAAAAGTTAGTACCCTTCTATAAAGCATCATGCACAACCTTCTTAACAGAATCAACCATTTTATGAAAGGCTCTAACGGCGTCGTTGTCCATCGGACACGATGCAGTTAATCTATTCAGTGCCATTTCAGATACGCCATAGTAATGCACGAAAGCCGCCATGACCACGCACACATGGAATATTTGATGCGATTGAAACTAAAAGAAAGTTCAACAAAATGAATCATATCAGTGAAATACACAGGCCCCTCTACAGCATACGCAAGGATGCTAAAAAAGAGCTATATTTATTAGCAAAAAAACAGATATAAAATCTCGCATTAAACCCACTGATGACTGTCCCCAAAAACTGATCTTGCAACTTCGTGACAAACTCTACAGACAATTTAATTCATTGTACCACCCCGCAAAAAAAATTTGCGAATAACTTTTATGTCCGTGAAATTGTAATTAACGCATCAAAGGGTAAAAATAAGAAAAAAAAGCTTAATCGTTGAATGGTAGTTTTAATTTCGGCCAGTTTTACAAGAAACCTTAACACGATTAGCTTCGATGAGCTACCAAAAAAATAAAAAAAGCAGTTAACTGAAACATGAAATCAGCTCTGGTGTCCGACCGTAACAAGTGAAAAAATTCGGACTCCAGTTCATTTGAAACTTAAATACTGGAAAAGAAACTGAAAGCAGAGTAAAAAGCGAAAAAAATTTAGGGTTTGGCTTGAAAAGCTGCACAAAAACCAGAAAAACTATCTCTAAAGTCCCCCAACACCAAGGAACTGATTTTTTGGGATACTCTCAAGATATAAAAAATCCAGATTGAAAACCCCTGATAAATATCAAAAAAAAAAA